GAAATCCACAAACAAGAGAGAGACAAAACAGAGACAAATTTCCAGTTTTCTTTTGCAATAAAATCATCATTTTTGGTCCACCATCTTGAATGATGTGGTATTCTCCATGAATGTAATCATGGCAGGCTCAATTCCATTTTGTCAACCGCTGATGCTCTGTACTGCATCTGCATCCGCAGAAATGGCATGATCGCATCAGCTGTTTTGATCAGGATATGGCGTCAAGTAATAATGTCAACACTTCAAAAAAATAGGTCCACAGTGCGTACATGTGTGGCTTACAAGTTATACTTGTAATTAGGACAAAACTGAATTATCATGAAAAAAATGAAAGAAGCTACTAAGATTTTCAACACAAAAGGTCAGTGATCCATAGTAGGTGAAAACATGAGTTATTTTAGGGAATAGGGTGCTATTACAGAGAATCACAAAGTGTGCTCGTGTGAGGCTTCCTATCATTTGGTTTTATCGTATTAGCAGTTACGAAATGGTAAATGAGGTGCTGCTGTATTGTAAGTGAATTTGCTAATTTGCGAGTAATTGAAACTTATTGCTTCAGCTTATAACTAAAAAGATTAATAGGCCTTGATAAATATATTCCAAACCAAACTTAAACAAAAAAACAAGAAATATGAATTTTTCTTAAGGGTTTAGCACATTATTTGTGAAGCCAGCATAATCAGCAAAAGATTAACTGATTCATTGTATTATTCATTCATTGTATTATTTCCTGCTGCAAAGCAAACCCTTTAAAATATAGGCAATCCGTTAATTGAGGAGCATTTGCCATTTTTTGTGCTAGCTGATGAGATGAGATATTTGTTACTGGAGTGCAGGTATTTTTCAATCAATCAATCAATCAAACAGTCAATCAGTCAATCATTCAATCAATAATATTTTAGCTTCATACAACAAAGTACAAGCTCACACCATATCAAAGCATAACCACAATAGCTCTAAGTTCAGTGGATTCCTAAGAAAGCCTAGCTCTTTTTATGAAGCCCGCAAATAAATTATTAACCGTTATTTCATGAGTGCAGGTTGGATATGAGACAATGGATAGCCTATAAGGCATGTAGCATTGAGCTGACTAAAATCATTTCAAAAAATCATAAGTGCAATAATCATTTTATTATACATTGTAGTCACCATCTGTCTTCTCATTGGCTAAAAGCTTACAGTTAATTCTGGGAAACAGCGCAACCTACTGATTATTCACTAATCTGCTAGCAGATTAGTAAATAATCCATAGGTTGCGTGTGCAATGCCGCAATGCATGATTTCCAAGAGTAATATCAAGTTCATGTAATAACATGGCTAGTTGAAAATAAACTGTGCTTGGTGCGATAAAGCATTTGTCATTATTTTCTTTGAAACAATGTATGACAAAAAAAATTATGAGATTTGGTTTTTGCGATATCCGAAATAATCAAGGTCTCGGTTAGTGTTATCAGCTTCAGCCTTCGGCTGATAACACTTACCTTGACCTTGACTATTCTGGATATCACAAAAACCATATCCAATAATTGTTTATAATAATTAAATTATACACATAAACTTACCATATTTGTAGAGCATGGTATAATTCCTGAATGATATACTAGTATTACGGCTAACAAGCCAAGGAAAACTCAAATTGTAATAATGCAATGATCCAGTTTTAAATAAAACTGATTGTATATATGGCTTAACAAATTTAAATAAGACAAATCCATACATGACATAAATGTATGGTCATATTAATCATTGTCTAAATCTCCAAATATAACAAGCTCACTTTTCGAACAATATGTGATTATGATTTTTAAGTACATGAAGGCATGACTGATCATCACAGTTATATACACAACTAAAGCAGTTGTGAAATTAAAGCCTAAAAAAAAAAACAGGCCTGAACGAGATTCAAACCCATGACCTCTGCAATACCGGTGCAGTGCTCTACCACCAACTGAGCTATCAAGCCAACTGGGAGCTGATCATGTTTTGAGTTTGTAATATACCCGTAGATGGTTAAGAGTGCAAGTGAATATATGAAAGATCATATATTTCAGCTGCGAAGGAAGATGAAGACATGACTGATCATTGCAGTTATATACACAACTTAAGCAGTTGTGAAATTAAAGCCTGAAAAAAAATTCAGTCATGTCTTCATATCTTTCTCTGCAGTTCAAATATATGATCTTTCATATATTCACTTGCATTCTAAGTACAGTAAACAAATGCAAATCACCTCTAATATGGTAATTTGTTTCACTTTTGAATATCTAATTTGGACAAAAAGAAAAGGTCACAGTTCATGTTCAAACCGAGGCGAAGAAGCATACTTACTCAAAAGGGTAAAAATATATTTCATAAATCCACGGCTTTACAGTCAACTGATTGTTGCATGACCTCTTCCATGACTTACATTTGTAACCAAGTAATTCCACTAATTTATCCAAATGTAAAGCGATGAAATATATTTCCCTCGTTTCCAAAAGTCTTGAGAAGGCGTCTGCGATTTGTATCATTTGAAAACTCAAGTGGTAGTCTTTGAGTTTGTGGTCACCGATGGAGACATTTCAAAGCAATGAATAGAGACTTTTAAAAATACAATGGCTCCTGTAGAACCTACACTGGACACATGCCAAGTCTGCCCTAGCTTTCACGAGGAACTTTACTCCCATTGTCTCGCTTTGTTGTCTTGCATGAACACCTGAAAGCGAAACAATTGCAAACGGGTTTCGTTATTTGTACTTAATTACAAAGCTGGATTTTTGACATGCAAAAGAAATGATAACATGCAGAACTCAAGACCAAGCTCAAAATGAAAAACGACTTACCTTTAAAACTAAAAGCAGGGGAAACTAGAGACCACGCTTACAACCGCAATGGCTGACTCTGACTAGTGCACAGTACAACACAAGACCAAGTGACATCTGCTGACTCTCGTAGACAAATAAATAAATAAATCGGATTATGGCATAATGTGGCTATACACCTCACGCAAGCCACACAAAAACAAGCACAAATACGAGCAGGAAGACCAAGTGTTCCTTTCAGCCTTCAAGGCAGTCAAAGAGGCCTTGGTTTTCATTAACTGTGCAGCCATGGGCTGAGCGCGGTTCTTGGTTTACACGGGGTTTTTTTTAACCGCGCAACCATGGGCCGAGCGCGGTTCATGGTTTACCCGTGGTTTTTTTAACCGCGCGGCCATGGGCCGAGCGCGGTTGCTAAAAAAAGGTATTACATCAGCCATGGAATGCGCTGACATTGCAGCTTTCACTTTCGCCACGTGACAAGTAAGATGTGTTTACTTTGCAAGTTTATTTCACCAGGAGCGACAGTCTTTTTGGTTTTCCAAGTATTTTTCGTATTTTTAGACAAGAGAAGTGAATTGTCATGCTGTTTTATTGAAGCGAGTTCAGAGATTGGAAAGAAAATTAAATATTTGCAAGCCACGCAAAGAACATGTCAGAACATTGCAAGGATTCCCTACCAAGGATTACATCATTGGTAGGGAAATAACCATCGTACTAAAGATAGCCGTGGATAACGTAATTCTTGAATTATGTGACTCGTGTGACTAGCCCTTTACTCATGGAAAAAAACAATTAAATTTAATCATTACTTTTAAGAAAGCAAGCTGTTGTTATAATGTTATTACTGTATCGTTTAAGCCCATGCACATCCCTAAGAAAGTCCCAGATTAAGACCATTACGTCATCGGACAGACATGATGTATTGCAGTGTGTGTACTGGGAGACTGGTCATGTGAAATTAATAAACAAAGTAAACTTTGCATTTACATGCTGTTCCATTGCAATTCTTCCCTATTGAACGGGCAAGTAAAATTTTGCCACGGCAAGTATGTCATCTGGCATACTTGCCCGGCTGATGACTTGGAGTGAAAAAACCAATATGGATCCTTATTTAAACATTAGCGATTTTATCGATCAATTTATAGAAATCGATACTCACAACTATCACATCAAATTTATAGATTATCAAATCAAATTTATCGATTTATTAATTTTATCGCCCTCAGCGAGGACTGTATTGTTGACACTGGTAAATACAACAAACTGCTTCTTCAGAAGCAGCATTTCAAAATTAGCTGTGTTTTGCCAATGCTCAGTGTTTTCAAAACAAGGCAGCAACCACCGTAGTTCCACTGCCTACTTGATTATATACATTGTATCACCAGCTACTCTGGTTAAGGCAATCAGCTTGCGACAAACAAGCTCAGCATTGTGTCACTTCACACTCAGTTTTGTAACAATAATGTTTTTTATGCAATAGGAAGCTTGTTAAAAAGAAAGCTCAAAGCATCCACTGTATTTTGTGCCCTTCACATTACTGGATGAGGGGCCTTGCAGCCCCTAACTTGTCATAGCCGCCTACTCTCCCAGCTCCAGGTGCCTACTTCAAAACATTTTAAACCCCTAAATGCTCAGCCTATCATCTATTTTTCTTCACTTGTCATGCACTTCAAGCTTGTTGGGACATGCTGAGTTACCCTTAGGCCTTGATCACATACACGTGTTGAGCGCAAGTATCAAGATCGTCAGAATCAAGCAATTGAGCTTCAAGAATTTATCTTATACACACTGGACAAGGATTCATCAGTTCCCTTGATGTACTATGATCCAAGTGCGGATGATCATTTTCTGATGTTTCGCTGCCCTAAAATAAGTGGAGACATTTTGCACTGATAAAATTGATAAGTTAGATGAAATTGATGACATTAATTTAAAACTCCATAATTATTGATTACTCACAACATATCCCTTTATTGATTTTTATCAATTTCAAATACAATTAAATAATTTATATCGATTAATATCGATTGTTATCAATTGAACTCGTTGGGGTGTAAGGGTATTTAGCACTACCCTGCAATACATCGGGGACAATTTTAATCAAGAAATAAATGCAGCAAAGAAAAAAGAAAAGTTTAGTTTTATTAACATACGCTGAATGAATTATGTAAGGCATTGAGCAAGAAGTAACTGACTTACAATTCCATGATGATGGCATGTTCGCGGAAGAACGTACGAAAGTCTTGAATCGTTGCGCAACTCTCTGTTTCTGCTTTGGAACGGATTCTCTCGTCGTTTGTTGTTAATGTTAATCCGCTGCTTTCACTAACAGACCGTACTAATTTTGCTCTGCCAGGATACGATGGGATCAGTTTCCGTGCGGCTTTTAGTCTCTCACTCAACGTTGAACCAGGAGAACGTGATTTCCGAAGGCTAACCATTTTATGGATTTGATCACCTCTTTCTTCTTCATCTTCCACGCTACGTGAGTGAACAGGGCTTATTGAAGGCATAACAGAGGCCTCTTAAGTATCCAAAATGCTTAAATTCTAATGGATTTGTCTTTAGACGTCGACCACTCTCTCACTGTCGGACCGTGCAAATGCGTGCCAGTCAAACCGATCCAATGGAATGTGATGGCATCAAGTTTCCATTGTTCGTCACTGCCCATAAATGTCTCAAAAGCGCTCGGTTTATTTTTGAAATATTCTAAAACCAAGCTAAAAAAAA